CAGTTTTGAAATATAATTGTGTGTGTTGTCATTTTATTACATGTAATTATTTTTTATACAAATTATCGTGGCTATTTCCAAAATAAACATTATTATTATTATTACTATTAAAACTGCCCGTCTGTCATATTCACTGAAACAAGTGTTATATTAAGACATTCAATTAGCGATTTTTTATGTTGGTACACTCGTTTCGAACATATGTTCACAATTTCAGCTGTTTAGCACGTTTAGTTTGCGATTTTGTTATCGAACAAAATATATCAAATAATTTGCATAAAATTTTGTGTGAAAAATGGAATCAAGTGCTCAAAAACCACTTAAAGTGTTGACAGTGGCATACGGTGACCGTACCCCGAGTCAGAAAAATGTTCGCAAGTGCAATAAGCTTTACAAAGAAGGTTGAGAAGATGTGAATGGCGATGCTCGCCTTGGACGCCCCGGAACAACTGGTGAAAATGTTGAGAAAGTGAAGAAAATTGTTATGGAGAATCGTCGAATCACTATTAGAGAAGTTGCTAAGGATGTCGGCATATCAGTTGGCTCATGCCATGCAATTGTTTTCGTAAATTTTAGACAACAAAGTTCGTTACAAAACTGCTGAATTTCGACCAAAAAGCCGTCACATGAACATCGCTCAGGAATTGATAAATGACGTAACCGGCGATCCAGACTTGCTTAAAAGGGCCATAATAATAATAAACAGCTTTATTTCAGAGTAGATATACATATTATATTTTTTTCAATTTTAATAACATATAATTCATTATAACATTAAAATCAACAGTTCAAAAATAACTTTTCAAAACGCTCAAAGGTGCGAACTCGTTTCCACCTTTTCATAAAAGAGGACGTATGCGTCTACACTCACAAGCGATTTTGGTGAAATTGGTGACACGTGTGAATCATTGTATTCGTGCCACATGCCAGTATAAGGATGTCTGCAGAATGCTGTATAATGTCCGCTGTATGGAGACCCACTGTGATTCGAAAGTGCATATAGATTATAACGACAAGGAGTCAAATTGTCTGCTGCATAATTGTTAATATCTAATCCATCTAGAGGGAATTCGATGGCAACATTTAACTTGCCTCTAAATCTTTCTGTCAGAGAAAATCTTTTGAAATGAATGACTAAAATACGGGGAAACTTATGGATCGATAGAGACTTTGTGCATTTTCTTCTTTCCTTGCAACTTGAACAAGTCGGTTTTTCATGTCCATCCAAAGTTTCCTCTCTTGTGAAGAAATCCAAACACTGTGATAAACTCAACTCGCCATTTCTTTGTGGTATGGGGAGCGACAAATCCCAGAAAGGATCGAATGTTACAGATGAGTGTCCGCAGTGTGTGCACTTCATCGTGGATTTCAATTGACCAACGAAATTATCCACAATCTTAGAGTTATATGTACTCAAATAAATCAGCCATGACTCTAGTGCTTTTCCGCTGTCGCTCAATTTTTCGTTAAACTCCGTTAAGGTCGGTTTAGGTTTCTCAATAATTCTATCAACGTCATCATGTAAACCTTCTAAAAGATAACGAAGGAACTCCTGGGCGACTTGATACACATGACCCATGAATCGAGGGGCAAAACTCTGAATCTGACTCTTTAAGGAGACTGTGTTCACTGCTCTATCAAATGAATCTTCTGACCACAATTCCTTGATAACTTCTGCGAAAGCTTTGATTAAAGCACCCTCCGTATTAGAAATATTAGTATTGATATCTTTCATGTACTCATCCTTTTTCAAATATTCCAGTAACCATCTATGAATTAAACTCGACTATAATTTGTTCAAACTTGCATTTGCTGTAATAACCCAAATTGAGGAACATTCCCCATTAAATAGAAAGGATTGAAAATGACTGTACTACTTCTCTTTCAGAACAAAGCACAAAAATCAAAACGTTAAGACAAAATAAGCACAAAAGGTTACGCCCGATCACAAAAAAAAAACTTGGAACTTCAGTCTGCACAATATATTTAATTATACAAACAATACATCAGAATGAAAATTATGTATATAAATGTCTCAAAAAATATTATTGAAATCATACATGTAACAATAAAACTTTAAAATACCAAAAGCAATACATTCAACTTACATAACACTGAAGATAAAAACCGTTTCGAAATTTCAAAAAATATAAGAACGGATTCAGGGGAATGAACGCTTCTAATATTTATTGTCTGTTTTTATCTTCGAAGTTCGAGGAATTGCTCAAAGGTTTTCGGAAAAGAGTTTGTTAATTCTAGATGTAAATATCAACATTGATTAAAACAAATTTGATATTGTTATGTTCGAATGTTGAGTTTATGAAAAGAAAAATGTTTACATTCATTCCATGGAAGAATATTTAACGAAAACAAAATTATCAAGTGATATTACCGCATTATTTATGACAATTTCACCAAATTATAATCAAGCACCCATAATAGTTTTTTTACCATAATGTACCTAAATTACATGCTTGTTTCTGCTACTTGGAAGGAAAAAACAGTGGTGCAGTGCAGGTATTATATAACCTAAAAATGTTCGAATATTGGGTATACTACCCATATCAAAAATATAGGATAGTTTATTCAAAAAAGTTTACAAAACCGTGACACTTGTTTCGCTATACAATAGCTTCTTCAGTGGTCAATAATAATGTTGACGCCAGGAGTATTGTTGAGTCCTGAAGATGGCATTGCATAGTGAAACACGTGTCGCGGTTTTATAAACTTGCAATTGGAAATCTCACACGAAAGTTTGTTTTCTGAATAGGGTAATTTTACCCGCAGACATTTCAATAATCATCAATAATAAACTGTTGCTTGAAATCGAAGTTACAAAAAGATTTTGGTTAAGAACTAGTAGATTCAGTGTATATTATTCCTATCGTCTATTTTCATGTTCAGGGTGCTAAAATGCGAAAAGTTCAAAACTCTTTTTTGTGAAGGCAACATTAATCAAGCTAAGCTTAAATCATCTAAGCTTACTTTGAGAATAAAGTCAGTAAACATGGGATTATGGAGACGGTTTCTTGGGAATACATGAAAGATCACGACTTCGAGAAGGGGAGAAAAAACAAAGAGTTATTAAAATATTCGAGTGATGAAATTAAGAACATTTTGAAAAAGATGAAATCTTGCTTTACCACGATCGTGTAACTTGTACATTCGTCAGTTATTGCGATATCTTAAATCATCGAACTCAAGTTCGAATTATCATCTTATTTACTGTAACCACAAAAAATGACTCCAAGATAAAAGATTTGTGAGCGACAAGGGAGTTATCGATGCCACGACTGAGTATTTTGACAAATCACTTAAAGTGTTTTGAGGTTTGTTAAAAAATATTTTTTCTCTGCATCGTGCCAGATATTTTCAATCCAGGACCATAGGCTGTTGCTGAATTTTCTGCAAGGCATTATTTTACAGTAGAGAAACAATCTCTAAGAAGTCCCTAGAATCCTAAGGGAACTTTATAAAATTTTGAAATATTGTACATACACATTGTACATCTTTTATTATCTTGTATTATCTTTTTATCTATTTTATCTTCATTAATGTTATTATCTTTATATAAATTTGAATGTAAAAGATAAAAATCTGTTAAAGTAGATAAAAATTGGCTATACTAGAGCTCATTTGAAAGACGTTTTAAAATTCAGGAAATTTCGATTCATTGCTGCCAAAAAGGCTAACTTCTACCGAAACTCCTGAATAATGAGATTCTATACGAAAAAATCAGGAGGTTTTTCATAGAAGTCAATGTTTTCAAAACAATCTATCGTGAATTCAATTTTGATCATCTCGAAAACAGTGACCTCTGCAAAAAAAAAACTTTCCAGAACTTTCTTGTAAATAATTTCACGGCAACTGATTTTACAAAAAAATGTAAATTTTCAAGGCTGTAGATAAGGAACCGTTCAAATAATACATAAGCACCAAAAGGGGACATGGGGTCTGTGCTTTGCTTATTTTTTATGACGTGAGGGGGTGGGGGTCTAGATAGTGATTACGTCACTTTTTTACATATATGGCAACTCACACAATGTATATGTTTGAAAAATGGATACTTATAATAATGCATGTTTATAAAAACATGGGAGGGGGAAGAGCTTTGCTTACTTTTGCTAGCAAGCGGAATGGGGGGGTTAAATGTTTGTAATAAATATGTTTACGTAATATTTGAACGGTCCCTAACTAAGCCCGACGTTTCGTCCACGACTGCGGTAGAGCGTCCACGACTAGAAATATAGGGCTCAAAAACCTGCAGACCACGGCCAACAATCCCGAAAAATTGCTCTGAAACAATTGGTTTTACACTAGTCATGGTTCCAGAGATATTTTAAATTTCATTTTTTTCCGAACCTTGATTTTAGAATTTGCTGCAATGGGGAATGTTCCTCCTGATGAAAATCAAGTAATTTTCATAAAAAAAGCCCTAAAACAACGCATTTTAAACTTATCGTATCAACGTTTTTCTTTGAAAAATTATTTAATTACTTAAAAAAGAGGAGTGAAATAAAATACTTTTCACTATGAAACAAAGCTACGAAGTCTTACAGTCTGGAATTACTCATAAACTACCCTTGTACTACTGCATAGAGTTACCTCCTTTGAAGTTGGTTTATATTCCACGTTATGATAATTTTTCATTGCATTAGATATTGTAAACTTCTTCATTACCTATTGTGCACTCTTGTAGTTATACACTAATTCTATAATAGCTTTGTCAATTAGTTTAATTCCATTCTTAGGTAAAAATACATTCAGCAAATTGATTTCTTTCAAAAAATAATCCAAACTTCTTTCGCTCCCAACTTTTGAACATAACAATACCAAACTAACCGTAGGATAGAAAAACAATCTACCACTGCAATATAACATTGCAGAAAGCATAACAAGTTTCAACAAATGACGCCTTACCAACACTTCAGATCAAGTCCCGCTTGACAGAAGTAAATCATACAAAGTACAAATATGAACTACAAAACATATTTAAATACCTTGCGAATTGATCTGCTCAAAGTTGCGCTCAGCCTCTTCGTTCAGTTCTTGACCGCTCATCGCCTCCAATTGGAAAACTCCCTCGATAGCTTCACCGTCACTCTTCTCTATCTGTAGCTTCTCCAAGCCGTCTACCGCTTTCACATAACCATCCTCCGTTATGGGCAGTAACATCGTCGAGACATCTTCTCCGTTCAACAACAACTGGACAATAGATGTTTCTCCTACGTTAATTTTCTTCACTGTAAAGATCGTCTGTCCTTCGGCGGAAATCTCACTGAACTTTGCTGCAGCTTCGGCGGACCAGACTGAAATTCCCTCCGGCTTTTGAAGGCTGCATTTTTGGGCTAGAGGAGCGGTGACAACCAAATCTTCCGGCAGCTGCCGCAGGCTGCTACTCGTACACGAATTTCCGTAGTCGATAAATAACAGTTCTATACCGGCCACGGTGTTCGACAGAATTCTCGCTCTGTACCACATCTGATCATCGGGGAACAGTGCGGCGCACAAACTTCCCGGAGTCAAGTCTTCCTGTTCAGGAAAACTCTCAGCAGAACTCAGTTGCTCAGCGATCCACTCCAATTCGTCTACACAGTTTTCGAGTTGGATCCAGAATTCGGACGGCGAGTTGAGATGACTGACGAAGCCGGTCAGTTTTGTTTCTTCAGTTTGCTCGAGCATAACAGCAAGGTTCAGCCGAATCATTTCCTCCTTGATGTTCGTTCCTTCAGAGTATAACTCAACGTAATGTGTTTTTTCGTTCTGGTCCAGAAACTCCGCCCTGAGGTTTTCCACCGACGCAAGTTTCTCGAATACTAAAATAGCAGCGGAACTCCACTCCTTATCGGGGGACTCCAATTTGAGGCTGGATCTGGTAGCGTAAACTGCGAGGGTTAGTAAGTTGGGGGGGAGCGTCTTCAGCTGGGTGGTTTTGTTGTCAATTACGTCTGTGTTACCGAAATCAATGAACCTAACGGTGGTTATATCATCATCGGCATCGAGTATTTCAGCCCGGTACCATTTTTGATCGACAGAGTATGGAGCGGCGCAAATAATACCAGCCGAAGGACTTTCGAGAACCGACCATTCGGTAACCTTGATTTGAATAACCTCTTGAAGCTCTTCAATTTCCGGGACAGATTCCGGAAATTGGATATAAAACTCATTGGGACTGTCAATATGACTAATGTACACCTGAAAATAAACAGGTTAGCAGATAGTTAACAGAAAACAGCAGATACTTACCGGAGTTCCCATTTCGATTGATTCTTGGTGCTGTGATATTTCTCCATCTTCAACAATAGTACCATCACTTTCCGCTTGAGTCTCTACATCGATATTTGGAATAGTGGTTTCATTTTGAGTGTCTGCACAGTTAGCTGCATCAGGACTCACATAGTTAAACGAGACTTCTTCGACACAAATGCTGGGTTCAGTGTTATATTGTACTTCATCTGCTTTTTCCAAACTTCCCGAGTTGAATCCAGATTCAGTCAACTCATCTAAATTAGATGACTCTGCAGCAGACGATTCCAAGAGGTCAACAGTACCTTCCCAACCATTTTCGCCATACACTATAGTTGTTATCACTTCTTTGTCGATGTAGCATGTTGCGTCTGATGAAACATTAATCTGAATTCGAAAAAAAAAGACTTATATAAAAAAACTGCATCCTAAGATTTTTGAATGAAGACATGTGGTGAATTCGCAGGTTTCAAAAAGAACAGCATAATGAATAAATTCAACATCTTCTTAAACAGTTTCTTTGATATATATGATAAATGCTTTCCAATGTCAAGAAGAAAGAATCAGAGTAATAAAAATAGTAAAAAGTAATAAAAAGAAAGAAAACCTCTTGGGAAATCATCAACAAGCTAAGAAATAAAACAAGTAACTCTTCTAACTTGAAAATCCTACATGATAATAGTGAATTGACCAACCCCAAGATAATAGTTGACATATTCAACAATTTTTACTGAAGCACTTAGGAACGTAACAAAGTCCATCAAAAAAATAGGTGAATTTGATTTTTTGGGGAAAAGCAGCACAAACTCTATTGCTTTGATGCCATGTACTGAAGATGAAATGTTACATATTGTATCAAAACTGAAAAATAAAACGTCTACAGGTCCAGATGAAATTCCCTCTGTTTTAATAAAGCAATTTGGTAAAGATATAGTAGGTTATTCTAACCCATTTAGTAAACTATTCATTTGCATCGGGCATATTTCCAAACTGTCTTAAATCAGCAAAGGTAACTCCAGTGCATAAAAAAAACGAAAAAACTAACATCAATAATTACAGACCAGTATTAGGTCTCTCTCCGTTTGCAAAGGTGAACGAATATTGTATGCTAGACAGACTAACCCCCTTCATCAATAAATACAGACTCATACCAGACCAGCAGCACGGTTTTTGGAAGGGAAAATCTACAACAACTGCAAGAGTTGACTTTTATAATAACGTATTGTCCAAGATCGACAAAAGAAACTCCCCTGTTGGAATTTTTTGCGACTTAAGTAGGGCCTTTGACTGTATTCCTCATAAGGCACTGCTACAAAAACTTTGGTTTTGTGGCATACGAGGAATTGCAGCCAAAACTTTTTGACAGAAGTCAGTTTGTCCAAATTTGTTTCAAACAAGTTGACGGATCTATTAGTTAGCACTGCTCAGATGCCTCGCAACTGGAGCTGGGAGTGCCACAGGGAAGTGTTTTGGCCCCAATACTATTTTCTTTATTCATTGCTGACATACTGGAATTTTTACCTGAGTATAACATCACGCTGTATGCTGATGACTCATCTTTTGTTGTCTCCCAGGAATGCAGTGAATGTAACCATCTTCTTGGTAAACTAGGACTATGGTTTTCAGCTAATCAACTACATTTCAATACAGAAAAAACTGAGTATCTAATCTTTCACACCAGACAAAGACTAATAAACAATCCACTCTCGATCAAACTGAATGACTTAAATATTAACAGAAAATCAACAACAAAATTCTTGGGATTAACCCTAGAGGACGATCTCAGCTGGAATGAGCATATTACAGCAACTATAAATAAATTAAATACAAAAATATATCAAATTCGATGTATGCGGAATGTGGTTGATATCGGAAGTTTGAGAAATTTCTACTTTGCTGAAATCCAGTCTATTCTACTTTATGGCATTTTACTATGGGGAAACTCTCCGGCAGCACTGCATCTATTTCTTATTCAGAAAAAAGCAGTAAGAACTGTAAAAAATGTNCTCAACACGTGTTTTGATCACCAAGTGATCATCTTCAAAGAGGAAGATTAAAACACAATCAAGTTTGAATTTTCCTCTTTGAAGATGATCACTTGGTGATCGAAACATGTGTCAAGATGTTAAAAATAACGATTTGGAGTTGGGCAAAACTCCAGTAATATTCAATGTTAGTCATGTATGACTAAAAAAATTAGTTTCATTCAACTATATATAAATGGGCTTTTAGGAATTACTTTTATACTACTTTGACATATTTCATAATCGTGTCAACAAGAACTCTTTCTTAGGACAACAAACGTATTTCTTTCTCTCTCTCTCTCTCAAATGTCGCGGACTACATACATTCAATTACCAATTTTTATTTTTTATGTTGATACATTCGTCTCGAACATATGTTCACAATTTCAGCTGTGAGCTGTGTTGGTGAGAGGCATAGAAGTTATAAGTGTTTTGCGTATTTGGTTTAAGCGCCGCTTGCGAGAAACAATACCAAGAATATGTTTGGTATCATGGAAAAACATTTCATGACTTCTACATCACAAAACAACACCACAATCATGCATCAGCCACCGTATTCACCAGATTTGATTGAAGATACTCACGATTGAACGGAGATTTGAGAAAAATGAAAATTCACCTCATACAGACCTTGTACACATGGGTATGAAGAACTAGATACCTTCCTGAAGCACATTAATAACAAGTCCTTCCATCATTTTCACAATGGAGAAGGAAGTCCACAACGAATTGCCACTCTTAGACATATTGGTGAAGAGGACCGACACTAAATGGGAAACATCTGTATATCGAAAACCCACTCAAACAGGACAGTATCTGAACCAGGAATCCAACCACCATCAATCTAAAAGAGGAATCATCAAGACTCTACTAGACCATGCTTTTGGGCTCTGTAATACAAAGGAAGGTCTCGATAAGGAACTAGACATCATTAAAAATGATATTCAACGAAATGGCTACTCCAAAGCGATGGTAGAAAAGACTTTGGCTAGAAGACAGCAGGAGCCTCGCAAGGAAGAGAAGCCGTCACAACCAGTGCTTGCACTTCCCTACATCAGAGGATTATCGGAGAGGATAAGAAGAATTGGTTCCAAGTACAACATCAGAACCTGCTTCAGATCCGGTAACACTATCCGTAGCAGCCTCACGAAAACCA